ATTGTGGGGGTCTAACGTGTGTGAGGTCTAGAGCTACATTTGCTGGATTCAAATCTTGCCAGGCAAGATATGCTAATGTGTTATAGGGCAAGTTAGTGCACCTCCTCGTTTACTCTGCTAAAACAAGAAGCATCCTTTTAGAGAGGATCACCTCAGTCAATATATGCAATGATCTTTCAACAGCATTTCTTTCTATCGTTTGTCACTACTATTTTAGTAGCAGCTATATGATATTAATTGACTAGTCCTTTCAGTAACTTGGGCCTCACTTTACTCACCTTAAATGGGTTATTGAGCAGCTTAAATAAAAATATTTTAATATCTTCATTAAATTATATTTAAATCATTGTGCAGATGTATAGTACAATTGATAAACATGAAAAATGAATTATTCCTCATTAAACAGCTAACACCACCACACAAATGATTAATGAAACAAGTTTGTAAGATGGGAGTCCAAGAATATCCTCATTTTTGAAAGAGAAAATGGATAACCTGAAAGTCAAGTTCCTAAGTCCAAAGAAAGTTAAAAAATCCATGAAATATTCTTATTCTTCATTTCTGTTTTTCTTATACTTTAAATGCTTGTAGTGGAAGAAATTTACATTGGCTAGTTTCTCAGGATATTTTCTCTCAGTGCAATCTGTGTGGTACTTTTTTTTCTTGTCACCAGGATAAAATCCAGCTCCATAAAGTCACAGAAATTGTCTCTGTCACCACAAAATTTTCTGAAAATGTTTGTGATCTTGATGTGCCCACCAAGGCTACCTCATAAATGTATTTAAGTGAAGGTAAAAGCAGAATCTGCAGCAACCACACTGCTATTTGTTGAGTATTTTAATCTTTCCCTGCTTCACTCAAAACCCGAAAGCCATTTGTGAACAACACAGAAGCAAGAAATTGCATGTGCATTACATTCACAAGAGATAGGTACATGTTTAGGTGTGAGGACCTAGGGCATAAGGATCCAGATCTCCCAATTTTCTCATCCCAAAATGAGAAAAGCACAGTTGCTTCCACAAGCAAAACTGCCTATTGCTAGAAAACAAGCTGAGAGAATTTTTGTAGCTAGCTTTCAAAGAGAAGTTGGCAACTCACCCCAAACCTCCGAATTCCATTCGGTTTCCTCCCGTTTTCTTCCACAGAATGCTGATAACAACCTACATTCCTCTCTAATTTCTAGCTAATCCAGCCAACATAGATAGCATGCAGCTTCTTGTGATATATGACCGTGCCACATTTTCCAAACTTGAAAACAGATGGATTATATTACACAATTAGCCCTTTAAGAAGCCCAATAACTTAAATTATCTAAGATTTTTCATTAACAGGAGACTTGTTTTTCTTTTTCAATGATGCTGATACTTTTCTCTCTCAAGTATTTTATTAGTCTGACTTTTGCCCTTTTCCCCAGAGTGACTTCAATATATTTCTGAGATCCTTATTGCTAGAATATATTGTTCCTACTAATTCTTTGCTTTCTCTTTCTGTTTAATAATGGTCTCTTCTCTTGGCTACCAAAATTTTGTCCCTTTTACCTGACTCCCATTTCAAATATAAGAGGAAGAAATGCATAAAGAAAAAAAAAAATAACCAAGTGAAAGAAAAATACTACAGGTTGGAAAATGAGTAAAACTCTGTCACTTTGGCTAAACTGGCATTTCTGGGCCTCCCTGATGGTGCAAGCAGTTAAATCTCAGCACTATGAAGCTATTCATAGCACAAATTCAATCCTGGCCAGGAAGCTGACCCTTCTGGCACAGCAGACCTCTCCTGTCTCACCCGCTGCTCTCCTCAGCAGTGTATTTTAATAACTCTGCCTGTTCTGCTCCCCATTCTGTTTCTGGTGAATCCTCTCACCACCCCCATAGCTCTGGCCTACATCTCAGCTCTTGTATGCATAAATAAATACGACTTTAAGAAAATAAAAATAAGCTTGGTATTTCCCAATAAAGTCTAATACATTTCACCACGTCAATCTCGTAAAGTGCTTCAAAACTAATAGTAACTGCTAGAAAATATATTATTCTATTTTCATCATTTAAATAATCTTTCCAAGTGCATGATTTTCAATGAACTGAATTGAGAGTTCACATTGTTTCTGTGTTCTTTCCTTTCATATTTTGCAGCCATTTTAGTTTTTCTAAAACTGTCTCATCCTTCACTGCTCAATAGATGATCACTGCTATGGATATTTCTCTGACACTTAAATTAGGCTGGAACTTTATGCTTCTGCAGTACCTAGCAGCACTTGCCTACTAAACTCATATTATCTATTTTCCACATTTTTTCTCCCACTGTAAAATAGGACATTATCTCTGGCATTTTTTCATCCCCCATACCTAGCAGTGGCAAAGTACATAAACAATTTGATCCATCAATTCAACAAATCAATTGCTAAATATGATCTCATATGAAAATAAATACAATCTGCATATAGAAAGTTTTTGGGGTAAAAATGACACTAATATTCTATTCTCATGATCATTATTCAGAATTATAATGATCATTGTTCAGAATTATAGAAAAAGTAGAGAGGACAAAAAGGACAGTGTATTTGTTTTAGTAATAATCTTGTGACAATTCTAGCATCTCGTTGAAATCTTCCAATCATTTTATTCTTTTCTACAATTCATAAGTGGTTATACATTTAAAACTTGTTTATAATTTTACTTCTAAGTAGCTGATTCTTTTTAATACATCTTCTTTTACTTCTCTGGTGCTTTGGACATTTTTAACTATATCTACCTTGTTAATAATTCCCTCACATGGCCCTGTACTGTATAGGTTTTCCTCTCCACTTTCTAACAGTCCTCTCTGTGTATCTATGTTCACTCTTTTTCATATTGAGGTCTTGACCTTAAGCCTTTAGTTTAAATTTTTTTCCCCTCACTGAGTCAGCAATTCTGCGCCCTCCATAAAACTACTGATGCACTATTCATAATTCTCAATTTTCTTTCTTTAATCCTACCAATAATACTTTTTTCAAACCCATTTATCTAACTTTATAGTTTACCCAGAATTCATGAAACATATACACAAATCTAAGCTCATCAATTTCCTCTTGATTTGCCATGCTTTATGACTATGGCAGTATCATTCATTTTGTCTTCCAAAATGAAGCCACAGAGTCATCTATGATATTTTCCTTGGATTTTTATCCCTCTAATATAACCAATGCCAGCTGCTATGGCAGAACTGTCCTCCAGTCTTCTCTACTTACTATTTCTTCCATCACCATCCTATTTCAGTATCTTGTTATTTGCCTATAGTCAATAAGTTATGTGCTGCCTCCCCAACACTACTTTCTACGGGTTCTAATCCTTCCAACATGTATCTTCCAGACCACCTTCCCCATGACCAGTCCTCAGCCTGTCTGCAGCATGCCCCACCAGTGGTCACAGTCTGTGCCTAGATGCCTCTACTCACTTTCAAGGAAGTTTCATCTAAATTTAATTATGCGAGATAGGAGAAATGAGAAGGGATCTAACCTTATCCCAGGAGGTAACACAGGGTCTAACCACGCATCAGTTAATCAATAACCATTTCCAAAATAGAAAAAGGGGAACTTGAGTATTACACAAATGGCTCATGTCATGGTCCTAGGCAAAGAATTTAACAGATTTCCACTGTCTATAGGCTACTGTCCCAGCATTTGAGCTGACTCAATCTTTCACACACTACTCAAACCACTTTTGTTCAGGAACTCAGGGTTCCAGTCTTAAAGAATCACTTGTTTCCTTTATTAATGGATTTTTGTATATCATCTCACTTTTATTTTTATATGCCTATTTGTTCTTCAAAATTAATTCAGAAACTTCTTTGAATCATTCCATTCCAGATTAGTAGCTTTTAAGACAGAATATAGCTTATTAAGTTATATTAACTTAAAGCTCATTAACTGATACATACACATGTATGTATGGATTGATGTAAAACATGTATGTGTGTATGTAAAAATACATATGTATCAGTTAATGAGCTTTAAGTTAATATAACTGTTATATATAAATATATATAACTTAATACTTATTGCCTCTATTTCTCTATATTCCCACTGTACAGTAAACTATTTGGGGGCAAAATTAAACTGAAAAAATGGCAAAAGTAAACTGAATTTATTTTCTACTTCATACCCATTGGCCTATGTATACACTGTGCTCCATTCAAACCAGAAAATGCATAAAGCACATTTTCTAACTTTCATGTTTTTTTCCCCCAATGATATTCTGAACTTTAAAATTGTTCAACTCTCTCCTAACATTCAGCACACATATAAAAAGGGTAAGTATCATATATTTTTAAAAATATGTATTGTTTAAATTCCCAAGTTTCTCTCAGTTTTACATTACTTTGCAAAGCCCCCTTACAAAGACAATATTTGCCAAATATTAGAGCTATTCAGCTATCACTCACTATATTTATAGCATAAATTACATTATTAGTAGAGACAATGTTCTGGGCCCTCCCTGGTGGCACAGCAGGTTAAAGCACAGCACTAAGAAGCTTAAACCACTTCAGCATGAGTTCAATCCCCACCCATCCCAGAGGTGATCCACATGGGGAGGCAGACCTCTCCTGACCCTCCTGCTGTTCCCCTAGGCAGTGTACTTCATCGATCTGCCTGTCCTGCTCCCCACTCTGTCTCTGGTGAATCCTTTCACTACCCCTGCACCTCTGGCCTGTACCTCAGTTCTGTAATGCATAAATAAATAAATCTTGAAAAAAAAAAAACTGTTTTATTTGTTTATTTCAGCTAAGTTGCATTACTCCTAGAACATTAAAAAACACTCAGAGTTAAATTAATGTGAATCTATATTATTCATAAGTTCCAGAACACAGTGGAACAGAACTTGCATAACCATGGTGTGAGCCTATGTAGGGTAATTTTTACACACAATAACATATTATTTTATCACTATTATAAGACTAATATTTAAATTCATTATCCTATATCTACATGTCTTTCCTTTAGTCCTAATTTTTCTATCAATACTTACTTTATATTCTCATTTGTAGGTACTTCTGGAAGTTGCACAGTTATCATGCCATCTAAGTTGGTCTTTCCGATGAAGGCAGGCTTGGTACGTAACACATCAGGCGCCGTCTTCGCTGTCACCCGGTGCTGCAGCCCCCCAGCACTGTTACCACGATTTGTCAGCACAAACGAGTATGACTTCTCAGGCTTCAGGTTCACAATTAACTTCTGTGTAGCTCGGCCATCTACTTCCTCCACCATTTTCCCATCATCATAAAGAATCTAGGGAGATACACCCAACCAAAGAGATCTGATCAATCAGAAAGGCAGTATGTATTTTCTAAAACAATGCATGCTTGTTTACGGGAAAGGCAGATCAGAGTAATTTAAATTTGGGCCAATTCTGAAGTTCATAGGAGTTCAGAATTCTTCTCGAAATTGTCTCCAGTTTTTCTGTTGATATAATGATATAACGTTCTATCAAAAGTCTGTTAAGAATACACAAATATTCAATAATTTTTCAAAATCTGACCTGCCAGCTATATGTGATCTTAATCTGTGCTATAGATTTTGAAGCTAACAGTCACTTTGTCTTTTCTAAAACTTTCTATAGATGATTCTAATATACTTTTATTTTCAAAAATGTTTCTGTATTTCTTACTTTGTAAACTTGTTTTTAATTTTTGAAAACCTTTTTATTAAACAAATGAAGCATTTACACTCAAACTTGATAAAGACAGTAGAAAATGATCTACTTGACATTAGAGAAATGCAAGTAAAACCACACAGAAAGGCTGTTTCTTACCCACCAGATTAGGTTTATACTTTGTTAACATCTCTCAATGCTAAAGTTTAAGATATGCACAGAATTCTAGCCAACAAACCCATTTAAAAGCTCCCAGGATATTGCATTATAAATTGGTAAAAAAAAAATGCAAATTTCAATATCTGATGCAAACATAAAAGCACCAGTGTGGATGTCGAAAGTTCACTTCGGAAGTACATGATGAGCCAGGTCTGAGCCTGGACTCCAGCCTCATCTGCAGTGTGGAAAGGTCCCTGCTAGAATGATTGACTCGGTCTCTTCTATGAGAGCCACAGATGACAGTAAATAAGTGTGGCCAAATCAGCATGGCCTGTGACCTTAGAAAATGACTTACCCAGGTGAACTACCTCATCCATTTTCCCCCTGGTATCTCACGAATGAGAAAGCAACTTACTTTGAAAGGCATGGCAGAATTATAATTCTCTGGAATTTCCCAAGACAGTAGTACTGAAGTCTTCATTACTGCTTTGACATGAAAATTTTTTGCAAACACTGCTGGAAAAGGAAAAACAGTGTATTTAAACTGCTCCTAAAAACCTATGACCTGTCCTTTTCCACCATTGCCACCACAGAGTTTAAACTACATGCTGGCTACTTCAGAGAAAGAAGTGTGAGTTGCCTACCTGTTTAGAATATTCAATTTATTAATCAATTCTCATAAAGATCCCTCCTTTCTCTCCAATTCAGTCAACTACATTGTGTTGTTTTCCTTACCTGAGGACATTAGTTAGAGAGCTGTCAACCAGACTTGCTTGGCATTCTATAACTGAAAACTAAGGCATCCAAAACAGATTAAGTTTGACATACTTTACCTTTTTGCTTTTGCTGAACCTATTAATATGAATGGGCCGATCGGTTATTTATAACTTCAACATACTGATTTCCAAAGACCGACATTCCTTTAAAGGAGGAAGGCCATAAGCAGACAAATCCTACCTTGATCCACAGGCAGTGTCCTGAACTGGACACTGGGACTATATGGCCCGGGCCCTTTGCTCGTGTGAGCACGTACTTTTACATCATATGTAGTATCTGGTTTTAAGCCATTGAGTGTCATAGTGGTGTCAGCTGGAACAATAAGCTGCTCCATTGGAAGAAGAGGGACGTTGATATCCCTATACAGAAGGGTATACTTGGTGATAATGCCATTTCTCTCTGCCAGAACAGGGGGCTGCCAAGACAACTGGACGGAGGTTGAAGTGGTGCCTTCTGAATGAAGGTTTTGAGGAAATCCAGTTGGGACTTCTTCTGGAACAGAGATCTCCTTCACCATTTCCTCCCCGAAGCCCACTTTGTTTCTGGCTGAGAGTCTGAAGATGTACGAAGCGCCTTTGTGGATGTCTGTAGCTGTAAAGTGATCTTCTTTTTCAGAGAATTCAAGAGTAGTGAGAGGCTCCATATCCTTCCGGCCAAACTTGAGGCGGTAGCCTTGAAGAGGTCCAAATGTGTCCACAGGAGGGTGCCACTGAATGAGTGCGGTATTCATCTGAGTGTGGTTAATCACAAGCCGGGGTTTCCCTGGAACTGGAGCATACAGAATGAGATGTCAGATCAATCTACCTGGATGCTCATATTTCAGTGAGTTCAAATGGAAATGCCCTTTACAGGCATACCCAGTTCTTAATTTGTAAAAAGACCGATGCTTGATTTTTATCTACCTTTTTGGAATATAGACTCCCTTCTCATACTATATTACTCAAGCTGGGATACTAAAATTTGGTAATGGATGCAAAATAGGAATTACTATTGAAGCAATAAAGGAGGTTTTTTTTTTTTTTTTTTAACATCTTCAAGCCTTCACACACAAAGGGTTACACCATAGGGGGAAAAATAACCAATTTGATAGAGCTAATATGAATAGTAATATATTTAATTATTGGGTTCATGTGACATACCAGGCAATGTTAAGAGCATTACATGTACCATCCATTTGATTTACATTCTTCACTCCTGACTACACACTTTTGCTAGTTATCTCATTTTCTATAGTAAGAAAATGAGACCCAGAGAAATAAAAAACTCCAAGGTCAGATTGTGTAGTGAATGAGAAAACTATAAAACAAACCTGGTCTGACACAAGCTATGCAACGGCTATCATCTGACAGATTCCGGGTAGCTCGGGAAAATCTCTGAAAAATCAGACTTTACATGTTAACTTATGTTATGACCTCCCTTTTTTGTATAATCGTAGCACCAAAATATTCTGAGCAACTTTCAGCTTACAATTGGATTGCCTCAGCTGCATAAGGCCTGCCTGCCCTAACAAGCAAGCACTGCACCAGGGCGAGAAATTCCTCTGAAGTCAAAAGTGACTTAACAACTGGCTGATCAATAAAAAAGCAAAAGGGCTGTTTCTGCAAAGACTCTCACTGCCAGGACAGAGAAAAACCCAAATCTTAACATTCTACTATCTTACCTTGCCTTCTATTCAGCTTCTACAGAATTACTCAAACTTCCTACTGTCTGGCTTTAGATATGGAAATTCATCCAGGTTGCCTGTTTTAGAGCTAGTCAAGTTTTTTACCAGCTACACTTCAAAGCAATCCACAAAAGTCATTCTGGCTAGTCTTTCAGGATTCTACTATCTAGTCTTTAGATAAGGAAATTCATCTATGTCTCCTACTTAGAGCAAATTATGCTTTCTAGTGTCTGGACCTCAAGGAAACTCACTTAAAACCTTTTAGCAAGTTTCTTCAAAGAACTTTTCCAAAACTTGATTAGCAAGAAATTTCCTCTTCCTGCCTCCCAAGATGTCTCAGGTAGAAAAACCATCAAATAATAGATAAGGCTTAAAGGATTTTATTCTTATCTATCTTCACTATAGTAATATTAGTCTTAAACTTTGTGCACTTATGTACCTGTTTTTTAACATTGATTGATTTTAGAATGTTATAATCTCAAGTAAAGGTCAAAACAACCCCAGACCATTCTTAGAAAAAAGGTGATTGGGATCTCAACCCCTTTCGTATGCTAATGCAATCCCCTGCCTGCTTGAAATGTATAAAATAAACCTCTGCTGAAGGCAGAGCAGGAAGACTTGCACCCAACTCCGACTCCCTTGTCTTCCCTAGTGCCCGCTCCTCTCCCTGCTCCTCTCCCCGCTCTTGGAATCTCCTCATGCCGCATGCCCTCGCCTTCCCATCTTAGCGTCCTGCCTGTGTTGCCTCCAGACACCTCAAAAGTTGGAGCTGGTCTCCAACACAGGTCTGTCTGAATCTATAACCCACACATTTAGCTCTTTTATTAAGTTGCTTACACATTAAAAATAATAAGTATTACAAAGTATTGTTGCTCTGATTCACTATGAGTCTAATGTGTACTTTTTGTCTATACTTTACCACCCCTCCCTGTTACCCTGACCGAGTTATTTTAGGAATTATATTCAAACCTACCCTATGTTGTTATAAATAGTAAATGAGAAAATTCATGTAAAAGTCTTAGCACAATGTTTTATAGACTATTAATATTAATGAACATTATTAATTAGAATATTCATTTGATGGTCAGTGGCTAATTTCATGTTAGTACCTCATTTATTTTTAAGTAAAATAATAAGATGTGAAGAATTCTAATCTAGTCAATTGATGGATAATCACATTTTTCTTTTTTTTTTTAATAACAGCAATTATTTCTGGAATTTAATGATTAAGGCTTAGATAAACAATAAAGAGCCAAGGGTGTCTCTGTAAATACTCCATGGATAACAGGGAGTAAAATTATCACTAGCATTCACACTAAGTTGATGTAAGGGGAAGACAGATGGCAGGAAGAAAAGCTTACAATATGAGTACACAATAAATGTATTATGGGGTGTAAATAAAGTTTAAGAGGATGCAAAACTCTAGATTATGAGACAAAAAAAAAAAAAGACTGTGAGACAAAACGGAGTACTAATCTCAGAAATTATCTGGTTAGCCTCTTCAATTGTTATTTCAGGAAGTTGGGATACAAGTGACAATCCGTTTTGCCCGAAAACATTAATTCACCAAACTACTTCTATCATTAATCTGGGAAATAACAGTTTTGTTTAGCTTGCTAAGTTTAAAATAAATTCACAAAACTCAGACCACTGAATATGAGAATAATAGAGCCTAAAGTTTGTAATAGCAATCATATAAATGTGTGCTGTAGGTGGGCTCAAGAATAAAACCAAACCACAAATTGTGTGCTCACTGGTTCTCAAGAATAACTGCATGCAGGGACCTTAAAACCATGAAGCTCTCAAAACAAAACCCATGGGGGGAAGAACACTTGAATCAGTGCATTTTTTTAAAAAAACATACTCAAAATTATTTTCCTATTTAAATATAACTTTAAGGTAGACATCAGGAGACACCCTTAGCTACTCTATATATGTCTAGCATTACATAATTGGCCTATGGAAAGTGTCAATGATGTCAAGGATTCAACACTTGAGATTCTGCCAAGGAAAACAATGGTGGATTTGGGCTATCAGCAGAGACTATGTGCTCTAATAAAATAGACAAATCCAGTTGAATGCATCGGGTAAAAATAAAACTACTAAATCACATAGTTTTCAGGGGCAATGTATTTTATTAAATCTGTTTTTCAAAATTCCCCAAATTTCAGTTTCCAAGGAATTTCATAACAGTATATATGTCTTGCATCTTACTTCTATAAGATACATGTAAAGCAAGAATAAAGTGCTTCTGAACTCCTGATAGAAGCCACAGATAGAGGCTGCCTATCAGTGATATCTGTCAGTCTCCATAGTCATTTATTTTATTTTTTAATCTAGTATTTCAGCTATAGCTATACTATATAGTACTATTTGGAGATATATAATATATTGGTAAAGGAAACACCTCACTGGCATTATGAAAATATACCTATTCTGAGATAGTGCTTAGGTTGGACTTTTTGCTTTTCGATGCTTACTAGCATTTTATTGTCCTAAGTGGTAAAGGTTGTGGGCTTAGAATCATCAGGTACTCTAGAAATTGCTCTAGAATTATTAGTGTCAGTTTTAGCCTGCTGCTTTCCACTACCATACTAGAAGCACCTCAATCTGCTCTCCAGTGCCAGGATTTTAACAATCATTCTATCCCTAGAAAAAAAGCCCCCAAATTTTATTAAGCCCCCAAATTTCTGAGACTACCAGCTTGGAACCACAAAGAAGCAGAAGTGAAGGCCTTAAGAAAGAAATGAATGTTGAAATGCTCAAAGAAGAATTCCCACATGGTCTTAAGAAAAGATAGCCCTATGAAGGGCATGACTAAGGTCTCTGCGGTATGTGAATCACCGATGCAGTTAAAATAAATTTGGAGCTAGAACTCTGGGAAGTTGTGGTATATCAACCACCCAGTAAAAGATACAAGAAGAAAGGGAAAAGGAATGAGGAGAGTTTTACAACACGGCATATATTGTTAAAAGAAGTCTCTAAACTCCATTCACCTGACTATGGAACCCACTGTATTTCTGGCTTCCAGAAACTTGCCAAGTGTAAGCATCTGTCAAACACTTTGTGCAAAGACTCATCATACACTGGCAAAAAGAAAACACTAAGGTGAGGAATAACAGCAAACACAGCAGGGTCCATGTTCTCAGATCAATGAATATTCCACAGAGGGGAACATGGGAGAATAGGTGATGTTGGATGTGGAGTCTGGATCAAGTTTTCTGAAACTTTAAGGCTCTTATATGGACCAATTTTAAAGGCTATACAGTAGCAGAGTAAATGGTTTTGCTTAGTCCAGCAGAGGAGTGAAGGTTTAGCAAGATGAATGAGTCTTCTATAATTTCCCAGGGGAGCTTATGATCATTTTTAGCAGTGTCTTATTGAACACACTAGAAGCAGCAGAGAGGGCCCAGCTGCAGAGTAAATAAGCTAACTGCAATTTAAGACATGACATATAATCTTTTCACCCTTTTGCCTTTTCAGCTCTCATTTCCCTATTATATTCCTCCCTTTAAGAAATCTTTGAAAACTTTAGAAATCATACAGATGTGCTGCTGCCTATATTTTGTAGCAATAGCAATCACTGGAGATCATTTGGGGGTACTCAGTTCCAATGGGCCTAAACTTACATTCAAATTAACCTAACACAGAATTTATGTAGCAATTATTGTGATTAACTAGCCTAAGCCCATCACTTCCAAATTCCCCATGTTATAGATATCCTTTCTATCATTCTTAAACATAGCTGCTCTTACAGTACTGAAATTTATGTAAAAATAGAATATTTCGGCCCTCCCTGATGGCGCAGTGGGTTGGAGCACAGCACTGAGAAGCTTAAGCCACTTCCGCATGAGTTCGATCCCTGCCTGCCCTCGGCATGGCGCGGCAGACCTCTCCTGACCCGCCTGCTGCTCCCCTCAGCAGTGTACTTCGTGGATCTGCCTGTTCTGCTCCCCTCTCTGTCTCTGGTGAATCCTCTCACCCTCCGCATCTCTGGCTTGTACCCCAGTTCTGTATGAATGAATAAATAAATCTTTAAAAAAAATAGAATATTTCAAACTAACAAATTTTCAGGGTAAACCTTAAGAGCCCATGCCTTGACCAATTATCATGGTATAGAACAAAGGGAATACTAGAACAGAATACAAAATACCACCTACTTTGAAACATAAAACCAGTGTTTTATTCAAAAGCAACTTTCAAGTTGTATGGAAAGTACATGTATTGCTTAAGTTATGTTCAATACCCTTGGTTTCAAAGATATGCCTGTTCACAGATTCTAGGAAAAACATTAAATACAAACATCCCAGAATCAAGAATTTTACTATTAAAATAAAGTTTCCTGAGAATTACTAAATTCTCCATGGGAGCTGTAACTAAATACCCTTATAATTGCTACTAGAAACTCAGCTCTGTAAGATAAGCTGAGCAATTCTTCACAGTCACATAAATAACAAAAATTTTTTGCAATAGTATAAAAAAACAAAACAGATCAATGTACTCACAGATTACCTGGGGATATACCATGAACAGGGAGTGCTTTTTGACTAGCAGATTGGTAGCGAAGAAAATAATTATTCTCCTAAAGGATTATACACCTAATCCTCCCAACTCAACCCTGGCTCAGCAGGGTGGTCAAGAAAACAAATGTACAAACATTTAAATGATTACCACTTATTTCCTCAATATACATGTCCCTTGTCCCTTGGTTAAGAAAGATCTGAGACTCCTGGCAGAAATTTCAAAGTAATTCTACATATGAACCAGATCCACAAGTCTAAATAATTTTTTGGTGACTAGAAAGTGATGAGCTAGTGTTAATGGCATTTAAACTGACACTATCGTTTCTTTCCTAAGATCCAGAGCCCTTGGCTATAAATCCTTTACTTTCTTCTTCTCATATGGGCAACAGGAATTTAATGCTTCCTGCAAGACACTTCAGCCTTGTTAAGACAGTTATAAATATGGATGAAGGAAATGTATTTTCTTCATATGGGAATTCAATTTCAAGGGTTTACCTTTGGCTGTTTACATTCTAATAGAGGCTGGTTCCACGGGCAGTCAGTCAGCAGCCCTCAATGAACACATACCTCTTATGTAGGGTGCTAAACTAGCTTGATATGATGGTATTATTTTAAAAGGAAAAAAAAAAAGCCCAGAAGACTCTGCCTTGAAGGAGTTTTGCCATCTGTGATCCTGCTGCTTGAGGCAGTTCCAGGTGGCGGGATGTGAGCGAGGCAAATCTTTTGACATTTAGACAAATTTGGCAGTGAGCATGGCACCCAGGAGGGTGCTCATCATCACAGCTGTTCTTTGCTTTATGCCTTTACATTGAGGTGTGTTCCTAAAAAGTTGTGTGAGAAGAGATTCAGGAGGAGTAAATCAAATCATAGTTTAAGTGTTCCATGGGACATCACTATATAAAGGGACGGAGGAAAATTCTTTTGTAATTATCTCTTAATTTATTTGTTTCACAGCGTCAGGTTTTCCTTCATGCTGTTTGTTCCTAGTGTGGCTGATTGAGGTTACTCTGAAAGGCATTAAGAAGTTTCATTCTTCAGAAAGGAGCCATCAAGTTATTTAGTCATTTTGCTTTCTTCACTCTTTTCTGTTCCCATCTTTTATGCAATTTGGTCTCTTTAAAATCCGCACAGCAAGGGTGAAAGGAGAAAATGACAAGAAACAAAACAAAATCATCACCTCATTTCCAGATGGGGACTCTTTTCAAAGAAGAGTTGAGAGAGCTTGGGGCCTCTGAGGGCTTCCCTGCTGCGGTTATCTCCCCCTGGAGCCTTGTTAGCACTTAGCTCTTTCAAATCATTCAAATCTCATCTCCAGTATTCCTTCCTAGAAGATTTCTGAGCACTTTTTCCAAAACAGCCTCTATAGGTCACTCTGTCCTCAATGCCTACATATCTTTATTTTTCGACTTGCCTCTTCCTGACATTATGATTTGTTTACTTGTTAATTATCTAGTTCTGATAAGAAAAGAAACTTCAGGAGGGTAGGCTTTTCTTGTTTCATTCACTGCTATTTCTCATATCCCAAGAAGAACACCCAATGTGAAGTATGTGTTCAAAAATATTTGGTGAATGACTGACTGAATAATTTAAGAAAAGTATCTGTTTGAGTCATTTCTCTTTACTTCTAAACTTTCCATTAAAAAAAAAAAAGCTGATCAAATCCTCTTTTTTCCTCTATATTTTTAATGATTTATTTATTTATGACCACAAGAACTGGGGCGTAGGCCAGAGGTACAGGGGGTAAAAGATTAACCAGAGATAGAGTGGGGAATAGAAAAGGTGGATCTACTGAAATACACTGCTGAGGGGACAGGAGATGAGTTGGGAGAGGTTAGCTGCACCATGTAGGTCAGCTACGTGGCCAGGATTGAACTCATGCTGCAGTGGCTGGCAAAGCTTGGTATCACTGAGACTATAATCCCTGAGTGACCAAGGAGGCCCATCTTTTTTCTTCTTTGATAAAAGCCACTCATGCCATTTGAAAATACAGTATGTTCATTACATTACAATGTACAATTGCACATTACAATACAGTACATTGCCTATAACAAATTTGAAGAAGTATGCACTGATATGGTTACCTGCCCCAGTGGTGGACACAAGTTTAGGCTTGCTGCGAGCACCATCTCCTTTGGTGGTATAGGCTGTGACAGTGAGGGAGTAGGAAGTTTCAGGCTGTAGCCCAGATATGATCATGTCCTGAAATGAAACAATGAATGACAAAGATTGAAAACATGCCGCCGATACACGTGGGGAAACATGTCATCTTTCTTCATTCTGTGCATGCGCGAACATTCCCTGCAGCCATGCCAAGCACTGAAAGTCACATGCCTGGAGCTCATGCTATATATTATCAGTTTTCATGCTGATAGAGTAGTAGTGTCTTCAAGCTTCCTAAGAAGAAGCATTAAAGGGTAGTAGTTAAAAATCTGAAGCCTGGAGCCAGTCCCCCTCAATTCTTGAACTTAAACCTGACTCTGTTTATGAGTTTCGTGATCATGGGCAAATGAGTTCAGCCCTCTTGACTTACTTTCCCATGTGGAAGTTGGACAAGAACCTCACAGGGCTACTGCAGGATAAATGAGTTATATCTGACAAATACTTAAAACGCTGCCTTCCCCTAAGGAGTCACACATGAATTCCATGTTATTTATGCCAGTGTCGCTGCATATATAGCCAGTATTGCCCAACCCACTGACCGGTGATGGGGCTCATGCCAAAGCTATATTTGCCACCATACATGCTACAAAATGACTGCTCTGTTGGACTTGGCTATCATGAAAACCAGAGAACTCTTATAGAACTCAAAGGAACACATCTATGGTTAAACTGTATGGGAAATGAACCAAAACTACATATACTAAGGAATTGGTCTAGTGATTTGAATAGAAGGCCATAAAACCCAATAAGAGAGCTCATTTCACCAAAGCACAATTATGCCTTTAATTAATTCAGACTATTTTAAAAAATGTTAAATATCACCAACTGCTTATTATAACACTTTCTATGGGTCCAAAGCTTTGATGGTGATAAAAGTAGAACATCTTAGAACTATTCTTCCAAATTGCAGGTTACATGATTCTGTAGTGTATTGACTAGTAATTTGTTCTGGTTATCTTTTCTAAAAAAAAACACAGCCATACACACACAGAGCACAATTAAAACCGTTCAGGTTTTTGACACAACTATATTTTCAAATTTGGATATGGATAAAATTAAGAAACTTTATGTCACTGAAAGACAATGTAAGTGATAGCTGGTGAATGAACTGGATTGTTCTAAGGGCAATAGGGTTTTCCAGAACTCATTGTTGAATCTGATCCCAAATATGACAGCTTTTGACAAGAGTTGTACTATCATCAGTATAGCAATTACAGAATTTCAGAAGGCTATTCTGAAGAGTCACTGGAAATACTCTGCCAGATGAATGGACTTAATTTGGGAGACATTTTATTTTCAGGACTTTATAATGGTTTCACTGACATTACAGAAAATGTAAAAACCAAGTGAACTACCCAAGTGGTATTGTAAATTATGGTTATTCCAAAAATTATGATGGTAAATGCCAACATACTGTTTTCCAGGTCCTTCTCACATGATACTGAGTTGCTGCTGAAAGCAGCCCAAACTTGGAGAAAAAATAAGCAATGATTGGTTCTGAAAACCAAATCATGTAGTTCTGAGTGTTTATAGGCTAAGCCTTATAAAGGATTCTCATATATAAAGCTGGGGTAATCACACATGTTGTCTTCACACAGGTTGTAACAGGATGCCATAACTAATGTGCTTTAAAATTGGTCAAGCCCTCCACAGTGGCACAATCTCAGCTGAACACAACTCTATCTCTGCCTGGATCACATCATCTCTTGGAGTACATTTTCCTTCTTCAAGCCCTGGGGAAACTGCACTGGCATCCTCCATGTGTGCTCTGGGGCGGTATGGGGGCCATCATGGCTTTCCATTCTGTCTTCCTCTCTCTAGGTCTACTGCTTAAAATAAACAGTCTATAAATTAATACTCTGCCTGTTAAAACCTGGAATTCCCTGAGTTTTATCTACTGTGTTTCTCTCTGGCCCTACGAAAAAACAACTCTTTCCAAATTATCTGGAATTCTGCATCTGTCACCGATTCACCTCCTGTCTTGAATTCCTACTGTGGCACTGGTGGCCTATAGCTGGAAATATCTGCTGCGCAGTTTTCTTTGGTTGTCAAGTGTATTCCCAAGTTTAAATTAAATAATTTTAAGCATCATTCCAAAAAGCAGACTTCTTTAACTTCTGCATTTTAGTACATCTACAGAACTTTTGATTTAACTTTGAGCTCTTTTCCTCTTACTAATCAACTCTTCCTTTAAAATATTTATCATACCTGTTCTTTTTCATTTCTATTATCTTAATTTGGTTGAATTTTTACTTCATGCCCTTTCATAGCTTAGTAAAAGAGGTCTTTTGTTTTCTTCTTAACTTTCCATTCATTAAGTTACTGATTTTAAATCTTGATTTAGTCACCCATAAAATCAATTTAGTCAGTCATGACCAGCATTAAAAAAAATCATATATAATTGAATACGAAATATTAAACTTTACATGTATCTACAGGTAAATAGATAAATCCTTTATTTTAAGTGTATGCACTCACTGATCATGAGATATAACTTAATTCTCCTCTGGGTCAAGTTTATGTAAATTTATATAGCCCTGCTTTATTGTTGATTCCATGAGAACTGACACCTTACCAATCATATTTTCTGAAATTCCCAGTAACATCCATGTACTTTGGTAAAAAAAAAATACATAAATAAAAATAAAAAAATAAAAAAATTACAAAATGAAGAAAGACCTTCAAATAAGTGTGTAATTTCTTATTTTAATGACTTTCTCTGTTTTTTTTCATTACTGAAGAGTTAAGGCTTTTTAACTTCAGCTTTTCTTATTGAAATTTATCTCTTAACCCTATTATTACTAATTTACTAATATGAATCATTCATTCACATCAAATTGGAAAGCACACTGCTGCCCGTTATACACTTGACTGTAGTGTGTACCTACACTTTATTCATCTGTGAAATGTTCCTACCTCCAACTCTACAACACACAGACTCACATACAGTTTTACCTCCTGAGTAATTAACTACCCTTGAAGTTCTCAAGTAAAGCTCCAGGACCTCTTCTACTACCCTGTTCTACTGTCTTTGAACTCATAATTCTTAACGACATTGTCACTCATTAACTAATTGACTACAAATTGTTTGAGGTGAGTATTTTCAGTGTATTTTAGGTAAATAAAAATTTCCTAGCTCTCTAGACAGTAAGAACTTAGAAACCAGAGGTCATATCTACATTTTTCATCCCATCTAATACATAAAAAATTCTCAGCAAATAGCCATTACTTATTAACTCAAAAAAATAAAATCTCTCCATGAGATAGTTCTGCTTCTTGGAATAGCTTATATAATTTCCCTTAAAAATGTATGGGTGCATAGTAATGAAGAAACTCCATATCTACATAGAGTTAATAAATGCCAGATCTATCCATTATCCACTGAAAGTGTAACCCTGGCAAAGGATTAGGAGCCAACCACTTGACCTCTGTGGTCAGCAATGATTCCACTTTAAGCACACCTCCTCCTTTAACAAGCAGGGCTAATAACAGCTACTAAAACAATATAAGCTCATATATATATATATATATATATATATGATAAAGGTAGCTTTAAAAAAAGTGTTAGTTCATGCATCCAAGCAAACTGTGATGACATAACACAAATAAGAGAGCCATCAGAAAAGACAAGCACTTATGTTTTTGACAAAGTTGTCAAAATTACTCACATGTTCAGTAGTATCATCAAATTCCCACTGATTGAGATTAAGAAGTTTGAGGAGACAGGGAACAAAATAAAAAGAAATGAAGAGAAATCTGTAGCCTCATAAAGGTATTGTTGCCTTACTTAGATTTAATAAAAGTTTTGAAACTATAAATAATTAAAACAGTCTGTAAAATAAAATTCCAGGTTATATACTATGCTGCCACTCTCACCCCCAACTGAGAGGTCAAAGGTAAATACATTCTGTGTTGCTATTGCTAATGTCAGTTGATGTATTTTTTAATGAGTGATATGCTGCAATGAATTGATAAGGAATACAGCAATGCTAATGTTTTTATCAGGCATTACTATGTGAAATTTATTTTGACTTCTTTCTTATCTTACACATTTAATTTAAGCACTGATTAAATGAACATTTTCCATTAATATTGAAATAGTATAATCCCAGTGGATGTCTACTGTAATAAAATTTCAATTAATAGTCAAAGAGAACATATGAGATAGCCCAAAAAACCAAAACCAAACAAACAAAAGCCACCAAGGAAAACCAGCAATTAATAAAGATAAGCCAAAGTAGAAGGGGGGGGGATGACTGAGTTGACATTTACAGCACTTCATATCATATAATTGCATCCACTACTATATTTCACAATAATAGAGATGTAACTACAGTTCTATAATATGAAATTATCTGAGAGCTGAAGGACAACAAAGTAGAATGGTAATACCATTATCTTTTTCGTAATAAATTGCTGACTTACTAAAACATAGGCATTAATGGCTTCATTCATTTCAAACCATATTTTTTCTATTTTATAGGCATACAAAACAGATATTTAGAAAAAACAAATCAGTAACTCATTATCTAGAGTCTGAAGGACACTATCAACATCCAACTACACTTAGAAAAGTGGTCTTTAGTTTAAAAATCATACATTGAATTTGAAACAGATAACTTGGCCATTAATCAACATCCCTTTATTTAAACTATCTGAAAACTAAAAAAGCCAATAAGCATTTATGAGCGTTGATATTAAAACAATACAAGAGAGTCACATATATGTTTGCTGGTGTCTTATTAACAAAGATACAAGAAATATAATATTTAGCACCCTGATATGGCAGTCTTCAACTGGATTCATAATCTCCCTGACTTTCATACAATGGAAGGAACATTTCAAATTTCACAATCTCCACTTATTCTAATTCCAGCCAGCAGTTTTTGGGGGTATGAAAAGCATTCCCCAATTTCACATTCCACCACTACAGAAGCCAACATAGGTAAACTAGTTCATGGGTTGCATATAACCTCCAATCAAAGCAACTGTTATTAATTGAAACATTCTTTCTTTACAAAATTTAGTGGAACACAGGTAACTTTGTTATGGTACTATCTCCAAATCCTTCTAAATTATGGAAAGAAATTAAAAATCATATTCTATTTGAAACAACTTATTACAAAATCAACTCATGACTCCATGGCTTAAAGTACTTTTCAAGAGCCAAAAGACATTCTCCCATCTCAACCACTCTTAATACTTTCCTTAACATGGCTCATTATAGAGGATACCATTTATTCCCTGGGAACCTCCAATCTAATTTCTATCATCATCATTACCTTCATTTATTTTTTCCCCCTGGGAAATAAAACAATTACTTCAATCAAGTATGTAATTTGATAAGAGTACTAAATAAAATACTCTCTGGGAAATTTTCCCTGAATAGGAGTGTCTATTCTTCACTGAAACAAGTCATACATCTATAAATTAGATCAATTTAGTCCCAAGTAATTTTACCACTGTCGAAAATAGACCCTAACAGAGGAAATGCCACTAAGAGTTCTTCCCTTAGATTTGATTTGCAAAGTCAGAAAAGCAAACTCAGATAGGGCTGTCAAGAGCTAAAGATATGCATTTTAAGGAAACAAAGCTATATTTTTAATCAGATGAGTGTGATCTCTTAATAGATAATGCCCTCCCTTGATTTAACTTAAAGTGAATGTGCATCATAGTTGAAATACAGAATTTCAGATATCAAAAAAAAAAATTCAAAAAGGGGCAGACTGAACCAAATTCTATAAAGGTGGAAGTCAGTGAATTGCGAAGCTTACCTGTGCATCAGCCAGCATGACGTCCTTCAGCATGGGCTGGCCCTTGGGCTCACCGTTTTCCATCCTCACATAATGCACCTGGTATCCTCTTATCTGGCCATGCTGTTTATTGGGCACAGGCGAGCGCCATGAGACTTTAACAGATGTTGAGTTGACAGCCTCTACCTCGACTTTGCGAGGAGGACCACTAGGAACTGGAACAACATCATTGGATAAAAGAAAATTATAGGCACTTGTCCCACCCAGTCAGAGCATTTTCTTTACTTAGTTAAAAAAAAAAAAACAAAAAAACAAAAACAAAAAAAAAAAATGGGCAGACCCACTACATTTCTTTTGAAGAATATAAACATTTTCAATCAATGAAAATGCTCAACCAATCTGCTCTACCTTGTAAGAAAAGATCAAAAAACATGACCAATGCCAAAAAAAAAAAATGGAAGAAAAAAAGAGTATCAGAGAAATAGAAAAACATGTAAAAAATGTACAAAAGCCAAGGAAGATGCTTTGAGGTTCAAAGCATTAAAGCACAAAGAGATATAGCATTGAACTAATAACAAAAACTGTTGATTATTGTGGTTTTTTTTTTTTAAGTTTTTTTTTTATAGTAGAATAAAAAGATTCTTGTATGGGTTCTCTTCTCTTTTTTCTGTTGTCAAATGTATTCCACACAACAGATGCCAAAAATTCAAAGTCGAGCATCAGTGTCTCTAAAATATGCAAGACAAAAGGCAACAAGAAGATAAGAACACAGCTTTGAAATATTAACTTCAAAATGTAGAAAAACTGACTAGACAAAGTAAAGTAAAACACAGAAGACTTTATTTAGACGAAGTATAGTGAAGGACCTGGATTGCAAGGTCACAGCAGTAAACTGTTCTTCTAAAGAGTGCAAAATACTCTGTTGAGACTGGAAAAAGAAAAAAACAAAAAAAAAAAGGAAAAAAAAATTAAAAAAAGTACCCAGGTGCAGTAAAGACAGGTCTTTGGCCAAAATGCTGACGTTAAAGCGATGCTGAGTAAAAAGATGAGCAGAGAAAAAATGATTACGGTTAGCTATCAAAGCACAGCAGACCAAGGTTGTGTCAGAGGGTGCAAACTGACGTAGCAGAAGCAACATACCATCTTCATCTGTTCGAATCAACACAGACAAGCTCTCCGGGCCAGGACCGACATCTGTGTGGGCTGTCACGGTGATCCGGTACTCAGTCCATTTTTCCAGCTGTTCCAAAAGGTACTTAGTAGTGTCCGAAGGAATTCCCAAAATTTTGTGAGGTTTGTCATCTTCTCCGTCCACTGCCGTGTACTTGATTGAGTATTCAGTGATAATCCCATTCTGTTTTTCCACAGGTGGAGGTTGCCAACTTACCAAAATGCTAGTGGAACTTGGGCTGGTGCAACTAATGTCTTGAGGAGGAGCTGACGGCTCTTATTTTGGTAGTGAGTTAAAGGAAGGTTTGAGTGAAAGGACAGGAGTGGTTGGAAAAAATGATAAAACAAAAGAAAAGCAAAAATAAATAAACGAACAGTAAGGGCAACAAAACAGAAAAAAAGGCTTTGAAACTTAAAATGAATTTTTAAAGATAAATTAATGTACCTTGGCTTAGTAACATGAATAAACCAAAAATGAATAAATGATCAAAAGTAATTGTTAAATAATGGGTGGGGGGAGTACGTGAAAATGAAATCTTGAGATAAAAGAGCCTCAAATAAAATTACCTACCTGCAATTTAAATTCTTCTTCTAAACCAATCCCTCAGTATTCCCCAGCCCTACTATAGACTATCCAACTTCAGAAAAGCTGCAAATAGTGCAAGATTTAGGATGTGAGAGTCGGATGATGCTTCACAATGCTGTTTCAAGCTTTCCCATCTACATTCTAGAACGAGGGCGATTCATAGACAGTATTCACTTATGAAAGGGATCTTTAGTGCAAAAAGCTGCAGTAACTGTCAGATGCCCTTCCATTAAATACAAATTTTACAAAATAAAAAGGAAAGAAAAGCCCAACATATAGAAAAGACTCCCCTCTGACTATCTGAGAAGCTGAGTCTTCCTGAGCAGTTTTAAGGAAAAGTTTTAACCTAACTCTGATCATAGCCCCAATACAGGGTGCATGCAGAATCAATAAAATGGAATGCAGAGACCAAGGTTTACCTACCCGAGGGTAATGGCAGGCTTGTTGATTCTGACTGTAACTTGTACTTACCCTACGTCAGCTTTCAGCTTTTTATATTATAACTCTTCTTGAGACACCATTGCTAGTAAAGAATTAGATCCCACCAGCAAATTTTGGTAAAATCAAGAATAATCCTCTATCCCTTACAAAAGGTCAATAACACAGCCATTAAAAAGAATTATTTAAAAAAAAAATTCTGAGAACCATTGAAAAAAAACCTGATTTATATGCAACATTCCTTTCATTTTGTGCATAATTATTCATATAAAGTAGATTTTACAGAAGAGTTAAAAGATAAGTTTTCTTACTGCCCATTCTAAAATAAAACTGGTCATCTTCTGAATATTTATGCCAAATTAACTAAACATTTATTTGAAAAAAAATATAAGCCTTAAGAGAAGTGCACTGTCACCGTACATTAATTTTAAGTTAATATTTTCTGAAAAAAGAACAAGTGGGTTTATACCTACAAATGTAATATGAGCATGTGCACAAGTATGTACACAAACACACACACATATATTTAAGGTAATATATGGTAAAATGTGTTAAGTCAATTCTAAAGCATCTCTGAATATCTACTTTGGGCACTAATGTCTGTCAGTCTTAGTATTATGTAGTATCTGGTTATCCAATTCTTGCAAAGATCATCAATCTTAGCTTACCTGTCTGGTGTTTATCATGATTTTCAGTCAAAAAGAGTAATACCCTTTATTAACAAGAGGGAAGTCCTCTGAAGATGACAACCATCTTGTAAATTTAGAATGGGACTTACAACATCACTTGCATATGTTTCTATTGATTCTGTCTATAGGTTCTTATTTTTCAAATTATAAAATTGTATAGGAACTATCATTATATTATTTATAATATTCTGAATTGTTCATATAACTGTAAGAAATCATTTATGAGTCTTTTTCAATAGCTGAAAAATACACTGTACCAGCATATCTCCGATTCTGTGATAATATATTGTACACAAATTTGAAACTTTTATAACAATAAATAAGAGTTTGATGTTACAAAAAGCACATTAGGGCCTTATGTGTGTGTGTGTATGTGTGTGTGTACTTACAATGTCAAGTCTGTAAGTCATGCAAGCTATAAGATTGCAGCATGTCTCATTTCCTTTATTTAAATATCTGCTGTTAAGCATTATCTTCACAGCATTACTTACTAACCTACCTGAAATTCAAAGCACTGAAAATTGCATTAATGTACATGCTTCAGTTTTTAAGAGAATGGAAATTTTACAGAAGTAAGTTATAATCACTATTGGATTAGGAAAATGGATCTTTATACTTTTCATAAAAAATAATCATGCTTTGGGTAAGAAAGATTATGAATTTTAACATTAAAAAATCCTGAAATATCAAAAATTTCTATAGAAAACAAAATGATGTAAGATTTGCTTATATGAAAAAGTCAATCTTTTAAAAGTATAATTTCATGTTTCTCTGAAAATTAAGCCATAGTGCACCTCACAAAATTTAATATGTATATTTTATATAAACCTATTAAATACATCACTGTATCAAAAATGACACAAAAATATCCAAGGAAAAATCTCCATAAAGCTTTTCAACTCAAGGTAAATTGTTGTTTAATAGACTAATAGTAAAAAAAAATTAATAAAGAGTTAACAATAACACTGTTATAAGCCATCAAAATTTCATCAACATAATCTCCCATACAATATGGAAAATAACTTCCCCTCAATACAAGGAGTCTTCCATTGAAATAAACACAACTATGCTTTTGGTAACAGTTCCCAAAAGAAACTGGACCTGAGGAAATAGAATACAATTTAGAATTGCAATTGCACTGACTGGTGATGAATTCATTATTACTAAATTTGTTCAAATAGAGAATTTCTGTATGTTTCAAATTTCCACAAGTGTTGCTTCCATTGATAGAAACAAAGAAGTCACAAGAGCTAAGCTTTTCTCTGTTTAAGAGCAAATACATAAAAATAAAAGTTGGTTTGTTACCAAAGTTAAAACGTGAGTGCTTAACAAACTTTAAAAAAAAAGTCTTTAGCAGGCTTTTGAAATTTCCTAAGCTTTCCTCGATTACTTCACAGTGTTTTCAACCTAAATTTTGTTTTAAAGCTTTATAATTCACTAAACAGGGTCTAATGAAACTCCTTCACCCACTTTTCTTATGGAAACTCTTAACTCCTCATAGTCCTTTGATTTAGAAAGTAGGGAAATGCCATCTGCAATTTGCTCCCAGTTTGAAACCAAGACAATTTGCAGTTGTACACTAGTCTATCAAACTGGGCTCTTACTAGCATAGACTACTGACTATTAGGCATGTTAATGAACAGGTTTGTCTGGTAGTGGAAGTCAATGTCAGCAAGATCTCCTAGTGAAAAGGGCAGAAGGAAAGCAAAGAGAGACACCTACTTGACTGCATGGTTCTGGCTGATATTTCAGCTGTTGAAGCACCCAGGCCTTGTGGAGACCGTGCAGCCAGACGGAAATAGTACAAGCTGTTTGGTTTCAGTCCTTGCAGTCTATAAGATGTTCCTGGCTCAATGGTAATTCGTTGCTGTGGGTAAGTAGCAAGAAAAATTTGGTCATCTTCATTAGGATTCCTGCAAATATTCTTTATTATTACACTGCCTAGAAAACTATCAGATTTCTGTCATCTGGGGTAGAGTATCTTCAAAAAATATCCAGGACTTATTTAATGAAGCTATTGATATTTCAAAGATAAATCTTTACAACTGACAGGGCGACCACAATAAGGGAAACCAGTTCTATCTTTTCTAAGGCTGAATGAATCAGGTAGGAAGGGGATGGAGAAGCCACCACAACAGTCCTCTGCCCTTAAAGCGCACGTGTTGTTCTAATATAGCTCAGCTACAAAGTGACACCAGTGTCTCACAATGGAGTGTACCCACACACACACACACGCAATCTCAGTCCAACAGATAACTAACATATTTCCATGACTTTCTGCAATCAAAATAGGGGGCAAAGAAAATAAAGCCAGAAGTAGCAACACAAACTATAACAGAAGTTACATAAAGGTGGCTGGTAAAGTGATCTGCAATTGCCAGGTTCTCATGGGTAATTTGAGTAAAATCAAATTACTGGAAAAGGTTAAATATTAGATATAGAACCACTTTATTGATTTAAAGTAATTTTAATGCTTCCCCTTTTTGTGAAACTAGACCCCATGAGTAGGAAAAAAAATCACATTTTTTAAAAACAACTTTCAAATTCATAAATTTTGAAATAGGTTTAATAATCAAATGCTGTAACTTTTACATTTCATGCTGGAAATCTGCCTACACATTTTAGAAAAATTATAGCTGTCAATGGGTAATAAATGTAAGACTGAACACTAGCCTGTAGTAAACCTTAAAATGTATGCTAAATATGCAATCTAGTAATGACATAAATAGTCTTACGGCTTTTTAAACATGTAGTGTTTTCACCATTCATACAAACAAAAATCAGTTAGGGGGAATTCAAATTTAAACTAGAGAAATCATCCTGAGGGTGTCTGCCTTGCAAATATAAAAGCTTTCAGAAATTTTAGATTTGCCATGTAACAAGAAAAACAAAGGGGATTCCCTACATGAACAACTGCAAAGAAAGGTAAGTATGCCAACATTAAGGTCTCCACAGCATTCTCAGAGACTGTCATTCTCCTTCACTCTTTATCTGATATATTTTTCAGTTGGGTGATGCTAGGAATTCACCCAATTTACTGACTTATGCTATAATCAGAACATCAAGAGTTTTTAATGAGTGCATGAGATTTTATCAACATAATTTACACCACTGCTGAATATTTAGTTTATGTTGGGTTTGTTAGCTAACTCTAAATGTGCTGCATTTAAAATACAGTCTTTGGAGATTCTGCTCAATTCACATGTGTAATAAAACTATATTACAGGAACCTATTAAATGGTTGTACAGTATTCAACTTGACATAGTATAAGTTGATTGATAACAGTACATTTAGCATGTGAGTCCATAAGAAATTAGGGGCTGTTAAGCTATGTAAAAATATTTTTAAGTAAAATGGTTTGCGTACACTGAGTTTTCAAAGTCTCACTAATTTGTTCCTCATATTCCCTATTGGATTTCATAATAACAAAGGAAATATATTTATGACTACTAGATATTCTTATTCTGGAAAGGTTAGATGTATCATACACTGATTTCTATATTTTCTTCAAAGTACACCCACGAGGCAGTATACCTAATAATTAAGAACAGAGATTCTGGAACATGACTGAGATTCAAATTCCAGTTCTGCCATTCACATTGCAAGACTTGAGGCAAATTTTTACCTTCTTTCTGTGCTTTCATTTTGTTACATATGAAATAGATTAACAATAGAAGCTGACAAATAACACTTTTGTAAGGATGAAATAAATTCATATAAATGAAATAATTAGGACAGTGTCTACTAGTGTATATATACTAGAGTATATATAGTGATTTTTTTTGTCTTTTCACTTTCAACAATGTTTAGCTTTTTACAAAATTTGCTTAATTTGCATTGTATACTTGCTTTGTATATACTCATCGCCATCACAATAATTCTTGATACATAAATAACTGTTTTCTATGGGCATCTTTCTACGAAACCAGCTTAGAAAAATTCATGTATCCAAAGTTTTGGAAATCATGTAGTCAGGTGTCTAGTGACTTATGTACGTTAATACAAAGAAGAAATAAATGGCTAATCTCATAGGAAATATTCTTTTGCAACTTGATACTTGTAGAAGAAAAATGAACACTGAAACAGAAAAGAGTTCAAGTAAGGACAATAGTTGCTGTGTATTATTTTTGTTCTCCAACCCTCAATATTTTTGGAAAAAGTTCTCTTTTGATGAATATCTCTTTTCTACCACAGTACTCTACAGTTACCTGACTTTTTACCAGAACTTTGTTAGGCACACAAATACCTAACAAATACTGAGTTGTCAAAAAGGTGAAATATAGTCTTACCTCTTCTCCAAGTTCCCCATCTTTGAAGACCAGTTCATAGTTGGCAATAGTATCTGAACGTGGAGGTGTCCAAGAAAGCAAAATACTTGTTTCTGACTCAGGTTCTGCTTTGAAGTTCAGTGGTTGCCCTGGTACTGAAATAGAGGCAAAAATTGATCTTGCCATCACCATGATTATTCAGTTTTCCCATTAATTCATTCATTTAAACCTTTCAAAATGCATCTATATCTATCAGTATAACATGTCTTTAAAACACATTTTACCTCTTTAAGGGTCAAAACTATTATGAATGCTGTCTTGTCCTTCACTAGTTCAGTATCTATAGAACATAGTGTTCAAATATCAAATATCTCTGGATGAGATTTTCCAGAATAAAACTATATATTTCATAATATTGTTATAAGTACCAAATGAGATGACTTATATAGCGTACTTGAAATAAATATGATCTAAATGATGGGTACCTAAATCAGAACAGACATAAAAGCTATTGTTATTTTACAACTCAATCTCTAACACCAAATTTATTATGTTATTTTACAATTGCATGGGAAGTTATTATCTAAGACTTTCAAAATTATTTCCATATAAGCTTAGAAAATCCTACCTTCAGTCTATTAACAATTACCTTTAATTAAATTACTTCAAATTACTTCAAATGACTTAACAGACTTAACATAAACACAATATTGTTCCTGTAGCATTGAATTAAATTCACACATTAAAATATTTACACTTATCAGAAATGTAGCAACTTAATGATCATCTATAAATCTCAAATTAGCAATGTAGTTCATGCAGTAGACAATTTGGAAGAAATACAAATTGGTTGTAATAAAGAATGGGGCATCTATCCAGTTTAAGATGGCTTATTCAAATGTTATATTATAATAAGTTTTATGGACCCCAACCTTCCAGTTAGCTCTTCCTAGTCTCATAAAGTATTCTATCCAAAATACACAAGACTGATATACTTCAGGGCTATCTATAACATAACTAACCTTAAGTGATTTTTGGTCAATGTCTGCACAAACTGGTTGGTAGTCACACTTTGCTGGATTTTAAAGGTTTTGATCATAACCTCTGACACTGTGGCATGTCTCAAAGTTGAACATGCATATATATATTCTCACATGAGCATTACATATAAATATAATTAAGAAAAAATCTATAAAACTCACATCAGAGGAGATGAGATCTAAATTGTTTTTGGTAAATGAGCATAAACATTAAAAGACATATAAAATAGTGCCATTTGTAGGTAATATGTGACATCAATTTTTAAATATTTGAAACATCATTTTCATAATAAGATAGGTCTTTGAAGATATAAAATGTACTAATTTATTTTCCTTTTGTAGTCTTTCTCTGTAGTATGACTGAATATTAAGTCTTTTGTTTAAAAAAAGATGAAAGGCTAAAATATCTTTAAGAATGGCTTCTAGCATTCCAGCATTCCTAGTTATTTTATTATACACTCTGGTCTGTTGACCTGTGAGTCTATGTGTGTGTGTGTGTGCACTTGAGCGCACACGCCCATCTTTTCCCTTCTCCTTCTCTCTGTACAAGGGCACACTCCATGTTTGGACTGATGCTTAAGGCTACCGATAATCAGTGCTTCATATTTCTAATTGCCTTCATCATCTTTATTCCTTTTTTTTTTTTTGTAACAAAGGCCAGATACTCATTAATTTGATGCCTCTGGGAATGTACTTTTTGAAAGTTTATCTATTTTTTTCTACAGTACCTGCCCAATGGATGACCTAACACAATCATTCAGACTGAGAGGAGACAAAAGAAGATAAAAGATCTAAAGTAAAAGGAGGAACAGAAGGAAATAAACAGGGAAAGAGTAAAGCAAATGGAAGATTCCATTACTTCTGAAATGGAAATACCAAAAACAATAGCAGGGACAACAATGGAAGCCAACAGGATCAGATGACAAATGACTGTATTCTAACATTCAGATGATAAATGTTTTTCTCAACCTAGAAATACACACATACAATATATGTGCAATCACTTCTATTTCTCTAGTTTTATTCCCTTTTTCTTTACCCCAACTTCCATAAGTCTGGGAAAGACGACAGTCATGTGATAATGCTGACTTAAACTGAAATTGACTACAGGTTTCTAAAAGAATTAAAAGCATGAACAGTACGAGAGGGTTGCTCTTAGCATAATAATGCTTGTTCTCTATTTTTTCTTTGTTCCCTGCATAACACTAATAATAAATTGACATTGATTCAAACCATCTCAGAAATCTAATTAACTTTTTCTTAAACTGTTTTATTTTGGGGGGCTTTTAATTTGCCTTGAACAAATTCCCAGTAGGTTTCAATGTTTCATTCATGTTCAGTGACACAAGCTTTGTCTAATCCTATAATTCTGTTTGGTTCTGTTAAGAACCCTCTCCTTTTAAATAATGAATTAAGTAGGGACATCTTATTGTGCACACCTCCTTTTTATTTTTGGGCAAAATAAGTACACAGTAACCAGATGACTTGATGGTAAGTTTGTTCAATTAATGTGTGAGGGGGTCCCTCCCTCAACTTCCCATCTTCCTTCTGCTGAAGGGGTTTGGAAAGTAAGTATAGAAAAGTATAGAAGTAACTTAATCTATTAGATCTAAACTCAGGGAAGAAACATCAATGCCTAGAGGTGTCAGACAAATAAGTTAAATAAATGAGGAGGCCATGAGGGCTCAGGGCTTACATGGAGGAGTATGTGATATTCTGCACTAGAGATGCCTGCCATGTAGAATGTGGGCTTCAGTCACACAAACTTCTGATTCTTTAAGAGATTGTTAATAAATTACATAGTTTATTTTTTAAACAACAGAATTAATTTTGAAAGTGTATGGGGCAAATTGTTTCTGTAGTCTCATCCAGCAAATGGCCCAATGTTCTAAGAGCTCATTTTATCCTATAGTCTCTACACTCAGTTTCCCAAGGATGTGTCCCACCTTCTTGGGACTAGAAGGTTCACCTGAGGATATTGTTTCCTCAAGGTTATTTATTCACAGTTGAAACAACCAAATGAAGCTAAGTACTCAAAACGGAAAAAAGCTGTGAAATTTATGGATTTATTTTTATATTATCTCAACATATTAGTCAAATAGGCATATACATAGGACAGAAACTTAGGGAACTCCAGACTGTCATGCTTATTTATCCAATGCTTGGAGACCCAAGGAGCATGTCATCACCTGATCATCTGACAAATATGTCAACCACTGTGGCTACAGAACTGCAATAGCTGCATTTATATTTGTGTTTTCTTCTTTTTTTTTCCCCTAATATTTCCATTTTTTCTCTCTCTCTACACACACTCTCACAGTTTCACAGTCTTTACACCTTACACTTAATTGATATTCTTCCATCTTTCCTCATTTGTCTATTTATGAATTTTTCTATGTTATATCATTTCAGTAAGCAATTCACAGACCTTACACTTATGGCAAAACTTGAGATTTGAGGGAACTCAAGCAAATTAAAAGAATCTATACAGAAATGTAAATGCAATCACTTTACATAAAAATAAGATATGTGATGGTAAGACAAGTTTAGAATTCAGATGTAGAAAAAGAAAATGAAAGTGAAAATACAAATTTTTCTTGAAAATTATACTGAAGGGATTGTTATAACCTGTAATGTGGTCTCAGCACTACAGACTATTTCTTGATTACTTAACATCTATAATGAAATACAAGCTACTAATTCCCTAAAATAAGAGTATAATTCCATTGACAAATGTAAAGATTTTGAGTATGACAGCCATGATACCCTGTACGAATATCTGAAGGCAACTCCAAAGAAAGATTGCTGTGTGAGAAGTGAAGAGAAAAATCTGTAAGCTTAATCTAAAATGCTAATAATAGAAAAATCAACATTTGGGTAAAATTTAGGGATTATCTCAAGAGAAATAAAGGCTGGTGCATCTTACATGAATAAATGTCTCATTATAATGATGAAATACTACTAAAGGAATTAGAAAATGAAACTCATTGTTGCTAAATTATCTAGTATTTTAATAAGGAACATATATTTAAATATGTATATACAGCATATTGGTAAAGATAATAACAACAATAAAACACAGCCAGAATTGAGGTGGTAGTAAAGCAAGCAATGTAAATCTAAAACAAGGGGTCTGACTTGTAAGTAGCACAAATGCATCATTGACAAAATACTCACTACATAGTGCCTATACAAATCTTACTCTCAACTGTCATTAAAAATCAATAGGAAAAAGTTAAATTTTATTACAGCTGTATTTATATCCAGATCTCCAATACTCACTGTGAAAACTATTTAGAGAAAGTACTTAACATGGTTTTACAGTTTTGGCCACTGGAAATCAATCCTTTTCTAGTTTGCTTAAATAGGCCTGTTGACACATGCTAATGAAGTGATTTATAAAGTTCGGAAATCTAAAGTATAATGTCTCAATTTTACATCGTAACCATTTTTCAATGCCAAGAAGTTATAAAGTTGGCTTTTTCAACGTTTTTAAAGTGGATACTGTGCACTAATATTTATTCAGTAAATGCATATAATTATTTTCTTTCCAAAGACCTATACTTTTAACTACATACATATAAATCAGTAGACATTTCCTAAGACTCTATTAAGTACATAGAAGAACTAGAGGTCAAATCTGTTTTCTGAAAAAGCTCTGAAAAAAAAGGGTTGAATAGATTTAAAATCTTTTCAATTAGTATGAACATCACAATATTTTGGTGCATTAGGTTTTGATGTAACTACATTTCTTTATGTTTCACTTGTGCATCTTTTGGAAAACATAGCTACTCTATGTTTCCTTTTCGTGATTAATGATACAAGAATTAAAAATACCTGCATTTGTTTTCTAATAATGAAGATATTTTACTACCTCAAGATAAACAGCTGTCTTGCTGGTGGACACACATTTTAACAGTTTCAAGTTAAATTAGATGAAGTAACAACAATGCCAGAAATTAAAGTCATGGACATTTGGAAGATTAACACATTTCTCAAAAATAATCTTCCAAAGCAAAATTTTTTCATATTTAAAAATGATCTATAGATTACCAAAAGTTTTCAACTGTACTGATATTTGCACTCAAGGCAAAATACTGTCTATAAAATAGATATTTTAGTTTTCTATATTATCAATATAAACAAATACACATCAATTCTATACAGCAATTTGCATAAATGATTTTAGATAAGATTAGAAGTGACTGGTTACAACCATTATGGAAAGCTATTTGGAGGTTTCTCAAAAGGCTAAAAATAGAGCTGTCATATGACCCAGCAATCCCACTCCTAGGTATATACCCAAAGGACACAAAAACACTGATTCAAAAGGACACCTACATCCCCATGTTTATTGCTGTTCTATTTACAATAGGGAAAATGTGGAATCAACCCACATGCCCAAAAATAAAAGACGGTATTTAAAAGATGTGGTATGTATACACAATGGAATATTACTCAGCAATCAGAAAGATAAACTTATGCCTTTTGAGCAACATGGATGGAGCTGGAAGGGCTCATGCTTAGTGAAAGAAGCCATAAAGAAAAAAGAAAAAATACCAGATGGTTTCACTGATAGCAGGAGCATAAGTAATCAGAGAAAAAACAAAGAGAGAGACAAACAAATGTAGTAGAGTAAAGATGAAAACAATGAACAACTATAAACCAGAGACCTTTTATGGAGGTAGAAGGGGGAATGGGATTGGAACTGGAGTGGGAAGAGTGCACTGGACTGTGGTGATGGCACACGGGTGAATGGGTGGTGGGAAGCCCATGGGGATTACAACTGAGATGGAAAAGTACACAAAATGAAGAATGATGTTAAAAATTAAAAAAAAAATAAATTAAAAAAAGATTAAAAGTGACAATTTCCCTTGAACTCATTTAATTTCTACATGTTTGTCTCCTGGGACTGTGATTTTAAGCAAAATTAGTACTGTGATTATTTTAAAATAAAGAGAATAAGATGTAATGAACAACTTTCAGATTTAGAAGGCATACAAGTTTATGTATCTATGCATCTGAACCGAAAATAAAGTGACAAGTTCATATGCATTATTAATCATTATGGTTTTATAGCTGTGGAAGAAAGAAAATCACATATCATAATGTTTAATTTTATATAACCTCTCCAAAAGAATATTTCATAATGAATTTATGCTTTTGCTAAGAAGTGATCCTAAGAATTAGCTAGTCAGCAACAAGAAAAAGGAGTCATTTAACATTAATTATATCAGAACTGACATCATTGTATATGGCAGATGTCCACTAACATTAAATGGTCTTTGTTAATTAAGCCCGGAGAACAGATCAAAGCATTGTCTTATTTTGGAAGGTTTTCTTAGCCTATGATCCTGAGAGATACAAGTCATTATGTCATCATATATTTTCCAAGTCAATAGGTATAAAAAGCACAACTATCATGAAAGCTTGTGGAACTACCTTAATGTAAAAAAAAAAAGGACCAACTATTCTAATACACAATTGACCTATTAATCTAATTTTTTTTTAAAGTTCACCATCCATGGATCTTATTGACTCAATTACTGAACAGCACTGCCTTGACTACATTATGATTTACATTACTCTACATACTTTTCATATAGAAAATCAACTTATAATAAGTAAAATACAAGCTGTTTGTAAATACGTTCTGCAATTTCTAGTAGCCAGGGCACACTGCTTACACATCTTCAATCACATGGTTGATAAAGTGATGACATCAAAAAAGGTTCATGAATAGACATAAATTTGTCTACCTCTGATTCTTGAGAAATTCCATTAATTCACTCTTAAAATAAGTAATGACTTTCCCTATACATCATTGATAATGCCTACAGCAGTTTGGCTCTTATGTAGATTCTCTGAACAAACCAATGGCAAACTGCCATTAGTCCCTTAGGTAATGTAAGTTTATAAGTCACCAACACAGTAAGGAGTCTAAATAAAGCCTGAAATTCAGGAATAAACTTGTGAATAAAGCTGCTATGTTATATTCTTAATTGAAGTGAAAACTGATCACTCAGAATCAAAGTTCAGAGAGTTGTGACACCCTCTTATGAAAATAAAAACACTAGCAGAGCCAAGTTTTTCTTCAACAAATAGTTTGATATCTGCTCTGATACCCCTCAGATGGGTGAATCAGTCACAGAGTTTGATCTTAAATCTTGGTAATGGCTTTTCTTCATCATCTGAGACCCTAAGTGTGTGTGTGTGTGGGGGGGGGGATATTTTTAAGCAAGAAGCTTGCTGGCAAGTATAAGACATTGAGAGACATGGAAACACCCCCCTACCACCAACAAATGATTTTAATTTTAATCTTACCTTGTACTAGGTTGTCTTTCACAAATTAAATATCTTTAGGTATTCTTCTATCAAGAGTCACAAAGTATAATATAAAGAAGCAGTTTTTCTAGCCTCAGAACATAATGCTTAAGATATATTCATTTTCTCATGCAGAAAAGCCTTCAAGTTATTTGGATACAAGCCAGAACAAAGGATGTTAAATGCAGGCCTTTGCTTAAACACTCTACTTCAATCCTTCAGGCATTCTTTCTGGTCTGTTTCTTTTCAGTTGGCTTATCTTAATCCGTCACTGATACTCTATATCTCAAAAATCATGATTTACACTATGTTGTCCTTTGCTTCTTTGTTTTTGCTGTTCCCATCTCTAAGGGCAACTCTCTCCCTCTCTTCTGCTTGCCATCTAGAACTAGACTTACCTCCTGTCTGAGTGATGACTTGTATGTCACTTGAAAGAGGACCATCTCCAATTGAGGTAAAAGCCAGGACTTTGACAGAATATGTTTTCTGGGGCACTAGGTTGCCAATAGTAGTGATTTGGCTGTCAGCTACATTGTGTTTCATCCAGTTGTTAACATGCTGTGTGGGGTCCATTGTATAATAAACTCTATATCCTTGGATCTGTCCGTTGGGTTCCTCAGGTTCCTTCCACTGAACCAAAATGGTGGTGGAACTCAACATGCGTGCCTGGACATCCCTCGGAGCGCTGGATGGTGCCTGCTCTGAGGTCTGAGTTAGCACAGGCTCGCTGGGAGGCCCTCGCCCAATGTTATTGACGGCGACAACCCTAAACTCATAATCAGAGTAGGGACTCAGACCAGCCACACTGTAGCGAGTGGTTGCCACCCCATCAATTTCTTTGTAAGCTTCTTCAGAATTTTTAGGTTTATGCTGAATGATATAGTAAGAGACTGGCTCAGGGTTCCCAGAGTCCCATGTTAACGTGATGCTTGTTGCTGTGCTCTCAGTCACAACAGGAGTTCCTGGAGGTTTGGGTAAGGCTTTGGAAGAAAGGGAGAGAAATAGTAATTGATCACTCACCATCTCTAAGATATTACAATCATCCATAAACTTTATTATTGGAATAAAGATTTGTGAATTTTCTGAAGGTTTAAATCAGATGGACTTTTAGCCAAGGGTAATTTCTAAGTGATTGGGAAGTACAACAAAACACAATAAACAGCAAATCCATTTTACTAAAGGGCATTACAGTATTGTACTTTGAGCCCTATTTCAAAATGTAGTCCTGACTAGATATGTGATACTGGCTGCATTGTTTAATCTTTCTTTGCTTTAATTTCTTATATGAAAAATGGGAAAAATTATATTAAGTTATGTAACTGAATTGTTATGTTTTAAGAATTTTCTGTGAAGATTAAAGACCTAATACAGTCATACTTTTAGAAGGTACCTGGCACCTACAAAATATTAGTTGCAATTATCACTATGATAACCAAAAATTATGATAACCAAAACGTTGATCAAAAATTATCACTTCAAAACATAAATGGTATAACTGATTACCAATAAATGTTGAAAAGAATAAAATTTGGACTATGCTGACATGGAATTAAACTGTTATAGAAGAGCAGTATCTAATTTTTCAGTTGTAAGACATAGGTAACCCTACTTAAAAAATCATTATTGTTATCTAATCAAGAATTTTAAGATAAGGAAAAAATACTAACTTCAATTTGATTTCAAATTTAGTTTTTGTAGTTAATATTAAAGAAACAATAAAGTATAGTCACAAATTACTTTAAAAAATTATCAAAGTATTGAATGCTCAGTAACATTAATTACCGAGGTTAAAACTACATTAAAAAAATTGCAATTATATCCTTCATTTAGAAATTCAATTTGTTCCTTTTAGCAGGACAGAATTCAAAATGCTACAAATTACCAGCATTGGTGACCACCCATTTAACAGTTTCACCCTGCACATTTACTCTGAAAGGTAAAGAATTCCACTGACTGACTTTTACAGAAAACTTAGAACTGGTATAACTGATTACCAATAAATGTCACGCTTATATCATTGGCACGCTTATTACCCCATTATCCTATAACCTACAAGTGTTTTTTTTTTTTTTTAAGATGTATTTATTTATTTGTACAGAACTGGGGTACAGGCCAGAGATGCGGAGGGTGAGAAGATTCATCAGAGACAGAGCGGGGAGCAGAACAGGCAGATCGACGAAGTACACTGCTGAGGGGAGCAGCGGGCGGGTCAGGAGAGGTGTGCCTGGCCATGTGGATCTCCTCTGGGGCAAGCGGGGATTGAACTCATGTGGAAGTGGCTTAGACTTCTTAGTGCTGTGCTTTAACCCTCTGCGTCATCAGGGAGGGTCTACAGGTGGGTTTTTAATATGCATGCTTAAATGACTGACTAAATGAATGAGCCAGTACCCATTCATTAATGACTTTCATCACGTTAGTCACACGTCAAAATTCATCTTCATGTTTTATTATTTTTTGAGACAAAGAGTAAGGATGTGACAAGAGGAAAACAAAGGTGGGAATTTTAACAAGATCCTAGTTTAAGGTCACAATACTGCTTCTAAATTCTTAAAGATCTCCAGTAAGCTTTCAAATATTTAAAGGTGAAATATTTAAATATGAAAGGACAATTATGAAAAAGGTGAAACAAAACCTGCACATAATTCTAAGAACTACAGAATGATACTAGCCATGGGAATTTACAGAAAATTATAATAAAAAGAAATTTGTTTAAATATTCTGGCCTGACATTATTTTTTTTAAAGATTTATTTATTTATTCATACAGAAGTGGGGTACAGGCCAGAGATGCAGACGGTGAGAGGATTCACCAGAGACAGAATGGAGAGCAAAACAGGCAGATTGACAAAGTACATTGCTGAAGGGAGCAGAGGGCGGGTTAGGAGAGGTCTGCCAGGCCATGTCGATCTCCTCAGGGACAGGCAGGGATTGAACTCATGCAGAAGTGGCTTAGTGCAGTGCTTTAACCTGCTGAGACACCAGGGAGGGCATGTGGCCCGACATTTCTTAAAGATTTAGGTGACACAATTTTTCTCTACCGTATTTATGAAATTTTAAAATCATATAAATTAAAAAAAAAGTTAAAAAATCATATAAATAATTGAAAGTTAAAATCATATAAATAATTGAAATTTACTTTCTGATATTAAACAAATATTACATTTGCTCTGTTACATTTATTACAAAAGTTTTATGTCTATAATGTGTGGACAAATATGAGTATGCTTAATATAGGAACAATGAAACATTATTATATTAAATCACAATGATGACAACATTCACTTTTTTTCCTTGAATCACTAAATTGGTTTTATGTTGCATATATGTGTTATGTTATATATGTTTGGTTGATATTTGATACAAATTAAACTTGTGGTTTACATATTTTGGGGTTAAACTTTACAAAGAGGGAGGATGATTGATTTTAAAATGGTTTCAGATATTCCTTCAGTAACTTAAAGTCAACCACAGTTTGACACATTTTGCAAAAGTTTTCTAGAATTCTATAATCACTGGTTAAAATGAGTTGGGACTCTCACATGATTTTTTTTTCCTATTGAATCAAAAATATCCATAAATATGCTACTTTGGCTATATTTTACTAAATTATCTTAAGAAAAGACTATTTCTTGGCCATTTCTTACCCATACTAGGTGAGACATAAAGGCAAAACAGAATACGAAGCCCTTTGGATTTTCATCTTCTTTTAAAGATTTAGTTTTATTTATTTATGCATACAAGAGCTGGAGTTTAGGTCAAAGGTGTGGGGATGAGACAATTCACCAAAGCCAGAGTGGGGAGCAGAACAGGTGAAATCTACCGAAATACACTGTTTGAGGAGAGCAGCAGGCGAGAGGAGAGGTCTGCTGTGCATGTGGGTCAGCTCCCTGGCTGAGATCCAATGGAGGCTGCAATGGCTGGTAACAGCTTAATATCTCTGAGACTTTAACCACCTGTGCCAGTAGGGAGGCCCTGGATTTTGATTAATGATAAAGCTGATCATATTTAAAGCAGCTATTATTAAAACATATTGCTTTCAACTCCTACTTTCCCTTCTTTTTTGTCTTCAGGTATTTTATCATTTATTAACACTTAGTTTTATTTTTGTGTCGTTTTGTTCTCCTATCATTTTATCTATTAATATGAAAGCTGCATACATAACTCCTACCATAATTTGTTGACTAAGTCTTGCATTCCTTACTCTCCTGGTTAGTGTGTGGGTCCTGACAATTCTTAAATATTTTGATGCAGATTGCTACTGAAGCTATCAGTATTTAGAGAATCCACTGATCTATGAAATAATGGCGAACTGTTTCATTTCAGATTTGTGAGGGTAGACTTTGTGCAGGTGTCAGTCAGAAGACTTGAACGTACCCATATCCACAAAAGCATGAACCACTGAACATACCTTTGACAGTGATCTGTGCTATTGCTTCAATGACACCCAGTGTGGACATAGCTACACAGGTGTAATTTGCTGACTGTCGGACATCATTCAGTTCTAGGACATTTCTTCCTATTGGCATGTCATCTTCAGGTGTCAGATCTTCTGCCCCCAACATCCACTTTACATAAGGCATCGGTGACCCCACGGCCACACAGGTGATATTAACACTTCCCCCTGGCATGATTTCATGATTAGTGGGTGGGATAGAGAATCTTGGTGGTACACGACGAACTAGAACAAAACACAAAGGTAAATGATAAAATATACAAGGCAAACGAGACTTGTTAAACACATCACATGCACGGACACAATTAAACAACTGAAACATTGTGGATTGTCCAAAAACAAAACATAAAGAAAACTGTGGATAATACAGACC